CTTCACAAAAATGGCTTCTTTTACTCCTCTCTCAAACCAACGTTCCTCTCTATCAAGAATGAGAACATCCTCATCTCTGAAATCTTAGACCTATACAATTTTTTTTCTTTTTAACTTTTTTTGTGTACATATGTATTTTTTCCTAGTCTTCATCAGCAACAGCGGTTCAAACCTTTGCACAGTCGGAGTTCTCCAACTCCAAAGTGAGCCCTGAAGCACTGTCTGAAAACTTACTCTGTTTTACTTCACAACCATGACCTCTGGGGGTGAAAACGTTTCTTGATCCTCTTCAGAAGAACGACAGAAAGGGGAAAAATAAATAAAAAAACGATTAGAGCAGATAAACGGATAGCAGAAGCTTATTAACAACTTTATTCGAAGTTTTTTTTAAGTGAAAGGACATTTTATTGGATTAAATAAAGCCTAATTTATCTGATTAGAATCGTTTTCCTGCAGACAACAATGTTGGCTCAGCCAGACTTAACCTGACATTAATCTTAGACAAACCTGGTGTCCCGACACGTCATGCTGCTCAGATATCATTGTCACAAAAAGATGAAAACCAGGTAGTTACAAAAAAAAGCAGTGACAGTTATTAAGCTTCCTTTGTTGATACAAAAAGAGAAATAACTGTCTTTTAAAGCATCTACTGATTTTAATGGATGTTGAATGAAAAATACTTGGTTGAGAGGCTGCGCAGCAGGGAAGCTCTCCTTTTATATTTTATGCAGCTCGAATGAAAACACTGAGTGTGATCTACTTTTTATATTTGTCGAGTTTGAATAGCAGGTAGATCATTTAAAAATGTTACAAAAGGCACAAACATGGTGGCAATGTTACATCTATTGTATGTTTAGCATTGTTCAATAAGAAAGCACATCTTTAAAGTGAAGGTATTTGACTTTGAGGTGGAACGCTACAGTTTGGAAATAATGGTTACAGAGTCACGAGGTGAACCTTTGGGGCTCTGAGACCAATTTAAAAAAGCAAAGATGGTGAATATTTCATTCCACAGAAACATGCGTCTTGTACATGTTGATGAAGGTTTTCAAGGTGTCTTGAAGCAAAAGTTTGAAGACTTTCAAATAAGTAAGTTGGTTTCACTTAGAGGAAACAAAAGACAATATAGCATGCTAATGTTAAAGGTTAAATAAAAAACACACCACTAGAAGTATGGTAATTGACTTAAACTTACAGTATATTCTGCTTTATCAAGTCCTTATGGACTCCAAAGCGCTTTACACTTCAATCATTCACTCATTCGTACACATTCACACACTGATGGTGCTCAGCTACAGTGTAGCCACAGCTGCCTGGGGGCACACTGAGGTGAGGCCATCAGGCCCTGTGATTACCAGCAGGCAAGCAAGATGAAGTGTCTAACCCAAAGACACAACAACTGAGATGATGAAACCTAAACCAATCTAAATTTCACACCTGTGGGGACTAATAATTGCTTATCTTATCTCTTATCCCACCAGTTATGACTCCCCTAACCACTCTGCCACAGCTTTTAGATGTGTCTTCCCTATAATTTTGTTTAATTAAAGTGACAAAAACAGAAAATATAGCTCCACGATCAAAGGACACAGAAACCCTATTAATCTTCAATTAAATAGAAACGGTTTATATACAATAACCTGAATAAAATGCATTAAAAAAACTAAAGCAGTTTAAAGCTCAATCGCTTTTGTTGAATGAATTTTGGTCTTCTGCGCTTGCCGTAGTTGAGTATAAAGGCTGTCTGAACCGGAAGTCCCGCCCCTTTACATCCCCTCTCTGGCAGATTGAGTAAGTTTAGCGTTTTCACATAACGAAATCACTTTGTCAATCTTCATCAATCCTCTTTTTCAGTCGCAATTCCAAAGTCATCTTTATTAAACTGTAGTTGTTGAGATAATTCTTTACATCGGGGGTTTAGTATTTTATGTCTGCCTGTTTTCTGCTCGCTGTTGTTGCCAATAAACTGACTCGATGTTTCTCTCCTTTAGCATCGCTCAGTCCGCTGATACGGCAACATGGTGAGATTCAAGTTTAATTTGTACAGAAATACTTTCACTAATGTAGTCGAGTGTTACTATAGTATCCAAGAACACTGTAAATGCTGAAATTGTTATTAAATGTGATGAAATGCATCTATAAACGCGTCTCGCCTCGGATTAGCATTAGCAGGATGTAGCTAATCGTGGGCCTTGACGTACTTTGTAGCGATTTCTAATGTAAATAATTAGTTTTAAAGCTAACAGCTAAATTATTTTATCAATGAACGAGTCCAGATTACAAATAAGGGTTTCTTGAACTGTTTTAAGATGGGTTTTGTTGGCTGCAAGAGTCCAAACACCACAGGCTGATGTGCCCGCGGTGCTATTTCATGCTTGCAAGAGTAAAGAGTGGACTAAGTGCTGGGTTTTGCTTTTTTTGACAGGAACCTCAGTTCCACCGGTCTACTAACATCAAGTCCTGTTAGTGAAATGTACTTGTGGTATTCTGTCCAAGCGCTGACTGTCTGATCTGGTTGTTTCGTAGCCTCGCAAGATCGAAGAAATCAAAGATTTCCTGCTGACAGCCAGGAGGAAGGATGCTAAGTGTAAGTTAATCATTTAGTACCAAGTTTACAGTAAAGTCATACTGTGCTTCCTTACAGTCGACAGGTAAGGAGCATTTGCTTCTCGTGACTTGTAAACCCACTAGAATGGGAACTTGGTCGTTGTTTTCTACACAACTTGATTGTGTAAATGTGTACTTTAAGTACGTGGACATGGGACTTATTGTAAAGCATTTTACCTGTTGCGATACCAAGTAAGGACAGCATAGATTTAAGTGTGTATCTTTGTGGAAATATTAGTTTGACTGAAAAAAGAGGGAAAAGGAAGTAGGGCTGTGTTTTGGAAAGAATTTGGCGATACGATACATATCATGACAGAGGAGTCACGATACGATATATCCTGATATATTTTGATAC